GGATGTTCATTTTATGCAGTGAACATTAGAAAGTGTGTGTTTTAATATGAGATTTCATGGTTGTTGTCTAAATACTTGCATTGTCAATAGCTATTTAGTATATTGGCAGAACCTTTCAGGTGAATAGGTTTTTTTTTGGTTGTGAATATTAGAGACATTGTAGTGAAATCTGGGATGGTAAAATAGTGAGTGTGTAAATATTACAGGCTCTTTCTATACATTTTATTTAATTTTAGAACTCTATTCATCTCAGTAATTCTTAGAATTTATCACAGTTTTTAGTCTTAGAATATATTGAAACAATTTCTTTTTTTAAAGCATATTTTATTGATTATGTTATTACAGCTGTCCCAGTTTTTTTCTCCCCTTTATCCCCCTCTGCCCTGTACCACCCCTCCCTCCAGCATTCCCTCCCTTCCTTAGTTCATGTCCATGGTTCATACTTGTAAGTTCTTTGGCTTCTCCATTTCCCGTACTATTTGTAACCTCCCCCTGTGTAATTTATGCCTACCAATTATGCTTCTTATTCCCTGTAGCTTTCCCCCTCTTCTCCCCTGCCCCCTCATGCTGATAACCTTTCATGTAATCCCCGTTTCTGTGATTCTGTTCCTGTTCTAGTGGTTTGCTTAGTTTGTTTTTGTTTTTGTTTGTTTAGGTTCAGTTGTTGATAGTTGTGAGTTTGTTCATTTTGATCTTTTCCTATTTCTTAGATAAATCCTTTTTTAAATTATATTTTATTGATTATGCTATTACAGTTGTCCCATTTCCCCCTTCACTCCCCTCCACCCTGTACACTCTCTCCCACCCACTTCCCTCCCTTTAGTTCATGTCCATGTGTCATACTTACAAGTTCTTTAGCTTCTACATTTCTCATACTATTCTTACCCTCCTCCTATCTATTTTCTACCTACAACCAATGCTACTTATTCTCTGTACCTTTTCCCCCTTTCTCCTCCTCCCACTCCCCTGTTGCTAACCCTCCATGTGATTTCCATTTCTGTGGTTCTGTTCCTGTTCTAGTTGTTTGCTTAGTTTCTTTTGGTTTTGCTCTAGGTGTGGTTGTTAATAATTGTGAGTTTGCTGTCCTTTTGCTATACATGTTTTTTTAAAATCTTCTTTTCTTAGGTAAGTCCCTTTAACATTTCATAAAATAAGGGCTTGGTGATGATGAACTCCTTTAACTTGACCTTATCTGAGAAGCACTTTATCTGCCCTTCCATTCTAAATGAAAACTTTGCTGGATAGAGTAATCTGGGATATAGGTCCTTGTCTTTCATGACTTGGAATACTTCTTTCCAGCCCCTTCTTGCCTGTAAGGTCTCTTTTGAGAAATCCGCTGACAATCTGATGGGAACTCCTTTGTAGGTTACTGTCCCTAATCTCTTGCTGCTTCTAGGATTCTCTCCTTCATTTTTACCTTGGCTAATGTAATTATGATGTGCCTTGGTGTGTTCCTTCTTGGGTCCAACTTCTTTGGGACTCTCTGAGCTTCCTGGACTTCCTGGAGGTCTATTTCCTTTGCCAGAATGGGGAAGTTCTCCTTTATTATTTGTTCAAATAATTTTTCAATTTCTGGCTCTTCCTCTTCTCCTTCTAATACCCCTATAATTCAGATGTTGGAAAGATGTCCTGGAGGTTCCTAAGCTTCTCCTCATTTTTTTGAATTCTTATTTCTCCATTCTTTCTTGTCTGGTTGTTTCTTTCTTCCTTGTGGTCCATGCTATTGTTTTGAGTCCCAGTTTCCTTCCCATCACGCCTGGTTCCCTTGTGCATTTTCCTTCATTTCTTTTATGGTAACCTGCATTTGTTCATCTAATTTGTGACCAAATTCAACCAATTCTGTGAGCTTCCTGATCACCAGTGTTTTGAACTGTGCATCTGATAGGTTAGGTATCTCTTGGTCACTCAGAAGGATGAGTTTTGGGGCACTGATTTGTTCTTCTGTTTGAGCCATCTCTCTCTCTCTCTCTCTCTCTCTCTGTCTTTTTTTTTTTTTGGTCTGGTTGCTCCTGCTATGGTGAGAGACAGAGCCTTAGGTGTTCACAGGGCTGGGCACCCCAGTCACTAGATTGTGACGTTGTATGTGGGGGCGGGGTCGAGAGGGAACAATGGCAGTAGCTCCATTCTCTGTGGGACCTCAGTCCCTTCCCTGGGATCCTGGGTTGCGCACTCTGCTCTGCTCCACAATTGCCACCTCACTGGGTCTGCCAGCTGCCGCTTTCGTACTCAGGGTCTACCCACTGCGATCTTGCATGCCCCAGATGCCTTATGCGCTCCCGGTTGCCTTATGCACCCAATTCTCCCTGTTCTCTGCGACGCAACCCGCGCCCGGCTGCTCGTCTCAGCCCCTCCTACCGGTTCTATTCCAACTTCTTGGCTGTCTGACTTCCATTCAGATGAATTTTCTGTCAGTTCTGGGTGTTATTCTGCCTCTAAATTGTTGTTGTTCCAATCTTGGTTGTGTGTGGAGGTATGGTGAGTCCACCTATGCCTCCATCTTGGCCAGAAGTCAGATAAATCCTTTTAACATTTTATATAATAATGGCTTGGTGAGGATGAACTCCTTTAACTTGACCTTATCTGGGGAGCACTTTATCTGCCCTTCCTTTCTAAATGATAACTTTGCTGGATAGAGTCATCTTGGATGTAGGTCCTTGTCTTTCATGACTTGGAATACTTCTTTCCAGTCCCTTCTTGCCTGTAAGTTTTCTTTTGAGAAATCAGCTGATAGTTTTATGGGAACTCTTTTGTAGGTAACTGTCTCCTTTCTTCTTGCTGCTTTTAAGATTCTCTCCTTATCTTTAATTTTGGGTAACTTAATGATGATGTGCCTTGGTGTGTTGCTTTTTGGGTCCAGTTTCTTTGGGACTCTGAGCTTCCTGGACTTCTTGGAAATCTATTTCCTTTTACAGATTGGGGGAAGTTTTCCTTCATTATTTCTTCAAATAAATTTTCCATTTCTTGCTCTTCCTCTTCTCATTCTGGCGTCCCTATGATTCAGATGTTAGAGCACTTAAAGTTGTCTGAGTGGTTTGTAAGCCTCTCCTCATTTTTTAAAATTCTTGTTTCTTCATTCTGTTGCAGTTGAATGTTTATTTCTTTTTGTTTAAAATTATTGATTTGAGTCCCAGTTTCTTTCCCTTCACTGTTGGTTCCCTGTATATTTTTCTTTATTTCACTTTGTGTAGCCTTCAATTCTTCCTTCATTTTGGGACCAAGCTTAGTCATTTCTGTGAGCATCCTGATTACCAGTGATTTGAACCCTGCATCTGATAGGTTGTTTATCTCCTTGTTACTTAGTTCTTTTTCTAGAGTTTTGATCTGTTCTTTCACTTGGGCTATAATTCTTTGTTTCAGTGCACCTGTTACATTGTAACAGATAGAGCCTTAGGTGTTTTCCAGGGCAGGGCAACCCTCTTGGCTGGGTTGTGGTGCTCTCTGTTGGGGAAGGGTCAGAATGGGAACAATGCCGCTTGCTGGGTTGTCACCCTGGTTTCCATCATTTCTGTTGCTTCCCACAAGTGGATTGTGCCCTTTCTGGTGCTAATTTGCAGGTGGGTGGGTTTGTGTACATTCTAGGGCCCCGTGTGAGACTGGGAGTTTCTCCCACCTTCACAAGCCCCACAGGTTTTTACTGCCAGAGGTTTTGAGTCTATTTTACCCTACTGAAACCCTGGGCTTATCTGAGCTAGAATGTGGGAGTGCCCTGTCTGCCAGCACCCCTCTACCTGCACAGTCTGCAGCCTTGCTATGCATTATCTCTGCCTGGCTGCCTGTCTTTGTCCCTCCTACCAGTCTGGATGAACAGTTCTTTATTTCCTTGGTTGTTGGAGTTTCATGTAGTTTGATTTTTCTGGCAGTTCTGATCGCTTTTTGTTTTTAAATTGGTTGTTATCTTTCTTTTGGTTGTGTGAGGAAGTGAAGTGTTTCTACCTATGCCTCCATCTGGTCAGGAACTCTGAAACAATTTCTTTATAAAGCTGTTTTTCTCAGGTAGACAAAGTGATCTTGCTTTCTACTGTCTATAACAATCAATTCCATTTTCTTACCCACTAATTGTGATTTTTGTTGTTTGTTTAAAACTGAAAAGTTATATTTTTCCTGGGGAAAAGTATAAATTAGAGAACAGACCTGGCTAAGATCTTTTAACCATTTTCTGTTTAATTCTTTGCAAAGTAAATGTATCTTGACTTACTGACAAGAATCTGGGAATGAACAAATGAGTTTGTTGAAAGCTTATCTGTTGGATAGGAGCTATTGTGCTATAAGACTTGGAATTTTTAGAGCAAAACCCTTGAGTTTTTTAAAAAATTTATTCATTTTAGAGAGAGAGAGAGAGAGAGTCATTGACTTGTCCCATTTATTTATGTATATATGGGTTGCTTCTTGTATGTTTTCTGACTGAAGATTGAACCCTATAACCTTGGCATATCCAGACAATGCTCTAACCAATTAAACTACCTGGCCAGGGACCATTGAGTTTGTTTGTTTGTTTGTTTGTTTGTTTTAAGTGAGGCTGGGGTAATAGGGTTTTTTCCACTAGTCTAGAGGTCTTTTTTTTGTTTTTTTAAGATTCTGTTTATTTTTTAGAAAGAGAGGAAGGGAGGAAGAAAGGGAAAGAAACATCCATATGTGAGTGAGGAACACTGATTGGTTGTCTCTGCCATGCCCCCAACTAGGGACCTAGCCCACAACCCAGGCATGTGTTCTGAGAATCAAGCTGGCGACCTTTTGTTTTGCTTCTCAGGCCAGCACTTAATCCACTGAGCCACATGAGCCAGGGATAGAGAGGTCTTATTCTTTGTCTCTTAGGGCCTTGCACAGAAAGTTGGGCTGATAATTTTTATTTTTTTAAATTTTTACTTAATTTCTTTTGGATATATTACTGAACTGTTCTGTAGTTTATTTATAATCCTAAAATTATTATTCCAGAGTTGCAAGTTATTTGTTTTTCTACTGATTTTGACATACTGTCAAATGATATTACATTTATTTTTCAGGTATCTAAACACCCAGTTTATTAAAAAAAATAAATTGACAGAAGCTGACCTTCAGTATGGCTATGGTGGTGTAGATATGAATGAACCACTTATGGAAATAGGAGAGGTAGGAAATTCCTTAATTTACTGGCAAATATGAGTGTTTTTACTTATTTAAGTAATTTGATTTACTGTTCTTTTTTAAATTGACTATTAAAATTGTCAAAATTCAAAAAATAAATGTTAAGTAAATAAAATACTGTAATGACTTCCTAAGAATATTCAAGTAAATAAGAACAGCAGAAAAGATACGATGAGTATTGTTTTAATAATTAAGTTAATGACAATTTAATGGTTCTACTATGTGACAAAGCTCATGAAAAGTATTTAGAAATGTTGAGACTTGTAGTTACAAATTGCAAAGGACATGGACATACAGGAGAATCTGAAAGATAATAAATGCAAATTTATGGGTATAGCAAGATTTTTTTAACTTCTAAAAAGTAATTAAACTCAGAGTAACACAATGAAATGTGCAGTTTAATAACTCGGAATTTTGAGGTACAGTGCAAATTTAAATGTGGAAAATTACTTAATGTGTATATTATGAAAGAAATACTTTAGTATGTTTGTTTATCAATGTAATACATTTATTGAGCAACCAGACATTCTGGATTTAGTGGTGAACAGACAGAAGGTTCCTGTCCTCACGGGGAAGCAGATATCAAATATATAATGAAATCAATTTTAAATTGTGATGAGTGTCAATGAAGGAAACAGCAAGATGCAGCATCAGTAGAGATTTAAAATAGAATAATCTTTTTGGAAAGAAATTTGTCAGTGTCTTTCAATAGACTTTAAAATATTTAATACCTATTGATTGACCATGTAATTCGAGGGCTAGTAATCTATATACCATGAAAATAATAAATATAGGGGGGAAAAGTATTTGAAAGTTTTCCTTGCAATCCTTGCTAATATGTATGACTAATGGGTAAGAAATCTAAATTTCTGATAGCCAACAATAAAACACAAAGAAGAATATATCCAGTATGATTTTGTTATAAAGGCAGGCAAAGTAATAAATTAGTAGAGAAAATAGTTTATAGGCACTTTTAACAAAGGGGAAAATGGTTTATAAAAATAATTGGGCATAATATTTTATATTTAATAGGAATATAACTACAGAGGAAAAAAGGATATTCTGAAGCACATCAGTGAGAAATACCAAAATCTTAACAGTGGTTGTTTTAGTTATTAGGCTTATAAGTGAATATTTTACTTAATGTTTGTTCCTTATTACCAACACCATCAAGCCTGCTCCTTTTCCCAGAGTAAATCACTATAAACAGTTTGGTTTATATCTTTTCTGAATGTTATGTGTACATTTGCATATAAATACTCATGTATATATAACAATAGTTTTTATTTTATTTTAAACAATGGTGTTATACCATATTTAAAGTCCTCCAACTTGTATTATATACCTTTTTTGTTAACATGTTGAGGAATTCTTTTTGCATGAAGTTACTTTTTCATGAGAGCTTAATGTTCTACATCAGGGATATAACAATAATTTATTAACTATACTATTCCTCTTTTAGTTTTTTGTTATTATAAACAATACTACAGTGAACATCGTTGTTTATTTATTAAATGTTTTTTGAGCCCCTCTGTGTGCCAGGCATTGTTTTATATGTTAGGAATACAGTAGTGAACAAAGATAAAAATGTTACATTCATGGAATGACGTTTATGAACGCTTTATATGCAGGCAGAGACTTTCATAGAGTGGGTACCTGGAAGTTGATTTTCTGCCAACTTGCCTTTCAAAGGCTTTACCAATCCAACCACAACTATAAAAATCTCATTTTCTTATGTATTACCTTCTGTTTTTCCCTGTTATTGCTATTTAAAAAGACAAAAAAGAAGGCAAAACTTGAAGGATGTTCCCTGTAAGAAGACATGCTTTCACTCATTTGAAATGGAATTACCCATGGATCAGAATAAAGTTACTCCAGGGAAACAGAATAGAGAGGCTGAAGACAGACTTCTACTGCTATGGATGCATTTCACTTAGAAACAGGAGCAATCAGTTTTTGATGCTGAAATAATTTGTATGGAAAAAATATATTAGACTTTAAAGGCTGAAATGTGAAAGGAAAACTTTAAAACTTTTGGAAAACAGTATAGAAGACCTTAAGATCTTATGACCATATCCTTACGACCTTAGGGTAAGGAAGGAGTTCTTTAAAAAACACAAAAAATAAAACTGACGAAGGAAAAAATTGATAAATTTGAATACATTAAAATACAATATGTTTTTACTAAAAAACTACTGTAAAGAAACTCAAAAGTCCACAAACTGTGGCAAACTGCAATATGTAAAACTATCAAGGGATTAATTTCTACAATATATAAAGAACTCCTAGGCTACATTAAGAACAAGACAAACATTAATGGGATAATGGGCAAAAAAATGAATTTCACAGGAAAAAACTGAGATGCACAATAAACATATAAAAAGATGCTCAGTTTTATTTGAGAAAATGCCAGTTAAAGTTACAAAGAGACAGCATTTTACATACAACAGATTGGCAAAGTCTGCTAAAGACGGTCAGTCACACATGTTGTCAAGGAACTTTCATTCATTGCTTATGCCCGTGTAAATTGGAAAACCACTTGACTCAGTAAAGGTGCATGTATTCCTAACCTTGTAGGGCATCATATTCACTCACAGGTGTATATCTTGGAATTTCTTACTTAATGTTCACCAGAAGATACATACAAGAATAGCAGCATTTTTTCTCAGTAGCAAAAAAACTGGAATCACAAACATGTCATCAGCAGTAAAGAGGAAAAATAAATCATGGTGTACTTATACAATAGGATACTACATAGCAGTGTCAATGATTGAGCTATATATTGCTGTATTTTTCAATTTAGATGGAGTTCAATGACAGTTAAAATTTTAAAAATTATACATAGAAGAGTATACAGCATGATTTTGTTATCAAGGTCAGAAGTGGTCAAATTCAAAATTATATGGGAATACTTACGCATATGGTAGAATTATAAGCAAGGGAAAGAAGTAACACAAATTGAGGATAGTGAAAACCTGAGGGGTAATAGTAATGGTGAAGTCATATTTCATAAACTTTGTTGGTGGATACAGGGGTGTTTTATTTAATTAGTCTTTAAACTGACATTCTCTTATGTTTGTATGAGAGGCTTTATAATTTAAAAATTAGCTTGGGCTAGAATGGGAGTAAAAGGGAGAAAACTGTACTTGAACAATGATTAAAATTAAAAAAAATTAAAAAAAAATTAGCTAACAGCCAAATTATGTTGTTTTATTTAACATAATTCATTTGTTTGTTATAGTCTTGGTATCTGTAACGCCTCCATAATATTGAACATTTGATAATCAAATAAGGTTTTATAAAAATCAATTATTTCTGTAAAATTTTCAGCTAATCAAAAAACCTAAATTCTGTTCTTTGTACAAGTCTTATATAATGTCATTTAATATTAGAAATTAATTTTCCTTGCATTTATTCAGTATTTATTTGAATTTTCAAATATTAGTTATAGATACTTTTTTGGTGGATTTTTTTAAAAAGTCTTAAACAAATGTTAAGGAAAAAATAACAAGTAATTTAGCCTTGATGGTTTTTATTTTTCATGGCAGCTAGCATTGGATATGTGGAGGAAATTGATGGTTGAACCACTTCAGGTCATCCTTATCCGAATGCTGCTTCGAGAAATCAAAAAGTGAGTTCTGACATTAATCTTGTTGAGTCAGTTTAATTTGTTATTTGGTATGGTTTAAAATAGTGTACAGTTGCTTGGCTGTTGACCAGACATAGGCCTTATTTTCCTGTAATGAGCCTCATTTTCCATCCTAATAACAACACTTTAAAATTGTTTTTTAATTTTTTGGGCAGGTCTTTGGTCTTTACTTATAGCTTAAACATGCATAGTAAGTAAATAAGCCCCTGAAGGAAGTGGCTTACTTATTTTCAATCCTGAAACTTGTTGGACCTTCCAAGAAAGTGCTGAGTTCTTTTTTTAAAATGTGAGTCTTTTTTTTTTTCATTGATTTTATACAGAGAGAGGAAGTGGGAGAGAGAAACATCGATTTTATTGTTCCGGTTATTTTATGCATTCATTGATTGCTTCTTGTATGTGCCTGACCGGGTCAAAACTACAACCTTGACCTATCCGGTCAGGGTCATAAGTTCTTTGGACATATTCTTTCAATTTGAATCCTGATGAGGATAACCTATTCAAGAAAGCAGATTATTCTAAGTTAGTTGCTTACCTCTAAGTCCCACTGTTAACCAATAACTTGCCTATTATTATCAGGTAAATTTATGGGAAAATGGCTTCCTACTCTATTCATGACCCATAGTGGTTGACTGTTTACCTTATTGCTATGTTAATAGAGTTTGGAACAAAGCACATTTTCCTATGGAGTCCAGAATAGAATATCCTTGGGTCAGCTCTGGTTTAAAAGATTCTTACTAATCTTTGGAAAATCAAAAGAACTCAGCTTTGGAGAAGCACTAAAAGTCAGTTATGCTGACGTACCATATTTTTTGGACTATAAGATGCACCTAGGTTTTAGAGGAGGAAAACAGGAAAAAAAATTTTGAAGCAAAAAATGTGGTAAAATATTTAATAACATAAATAACATTAATATTTCACCAATGTAAATGTAAAGCTACATTTGGACTATAAGATGCACCCCCATTTTCCTCCCAAATTTAGGGGGGAAAGGTGTGTCTTATAGTCTGAAAAATACGCTATGTGTAATAAATTTTAGGTTACCGGAACTGATGTTATAGGAATTACTTAGACCAGTGAATTGTAGCGTGATAATGACCATAGCATCTGAAACTGCTTTCTTTTTTTCTTTTATTTTTAAATTTTTATTTTATTTCCAATTACAGTTTATATTCAATATTATTTTGTATTAGTTTCACGTATACCAGCATAGTGGTTAGTCAGACATATACTTTACAAAGTGTTCCCAATATTTTCAGTGCCCACCTGGCACCATGCATAGTTATTATAATATTATTGACTATATTTCCTAGGCTTTACTTTACCACCCCTGTGCCTGCTTTGTGACCACCAATGTGTACTTCTTAATCCCTTCACCTTTTTCACCCAGACCCCAACCCCCTTCCCCTGTAGCAACCACAGTGTGTTCTCTGTATCTGTGAGTTTTTTCTGTTTTGTTTGTCTTGTTCTTTAGTGAATCTGCTTTCTTTAAGATGCAGTTGTAGAGTTTTTTTATGTGAGGAGCTTCTAGTAGGAAATAAGGGGTTTAAAAAAATAACAGAAGAGGATAGGAGACTATTTAAAAGTAAATTGATTTAAAAAAATGTTACTCAGCTTTTTAGTGATTCCATTGTTTTCAAAGACAACAAGATTGAGAGAAATGGCAGTAGTAAAGCAGTGGGTAAAACAACTCTTTTGCTTTCTTTTTTCACTGTGAAACTTATAACTAAAAACACTCCCAACAAGATTTGTAGGTTCTAATATAATTTCTTTTGCTAAGAACTACTAATTTTTTGGACCTGGAATTCAGATATTTTTAAATTAAAAATATAATGAAAATATTGTTAACAAGTTTCTAAATACACTTTTATAAAAGATCTCTTAATATAATTGTGTTCCAGTCTTGTAAATTTTTCTTAAGTGTGATTATTAGCTTGTTAAAAATGAATTTGATAAAAAATTAAAACCTGTAATAAAAATAACTATAGTACATTAATTCTGGAAAAGACATAGAGATATATGGTCAGAAATGTTAGGCCAGCTTGTCTTAATTTTATAGTTGTAATCAGCTTCCATTAAAGTACTGTTTGACATATTTTACTAATATTTATTTTTCATGTCTACTCAGATTGGCATTATCTCACATTTTACAATGAAGCAAACTTAAGGATTAATAATAATAAAATTATGTATGGGAAATATGTTCTAAGCATCATTTCATTTAATCCTTGCAACCCTAGGAGTTTGACATTATTTTACAAATACAGAAGTGAGTTGTGCTGCCCTAAACAAGGTTGACTTGACTCCACTCCCCATCTTCTTAATTCCAAGGATTCAAATCTGGGTTTTTCTAACTGTAAATCCATTATGCCTATCTTTTTAATCCACAGAACATTTCTTCCATTCCTTGTTCTAATAGTTTAGCTTAGGGATGAATATATTTTAGTTTTATAATGACTTAAGTATTCTAGTGTTTTTATACATATTTCTTTATTTGATCTTAAGGAGCCAGGGCAATTTTTTTTCTAAGTAAGTTAGTTGAACTTCAGCAGAAGTTCAGAGAGGGAAAGGAACATCAATGTGTGGTTGCCTCTCATGTGTCCCCTACTGAGGACCTGGCCTGTGACCCAGGCATGTGCCCTGACTGCGAATCAAACCTGTGACCCTTTGGTTCACAGGCTGGCCTTCAATCCATTGAGCCACTTCAGCCAGGGTCTTTATTCTTAATATGGCTTATTTCCATCTTTCCTTTCTTGATCACTTTTTTTTAGAGTTTATGTATTTGGTTGGATTTTTGTAAAGAACCAACTTTGTCTTAGTTGACCTTCCCTATTTTATCTTTCTTTACTTTTTCATTATTCTGCTTTTAATTTTCGTTCCTTGTTCTGGGAGACGAGTGTTTTTTTCACTGGGCTGGAACCAAGTTTTTCTTTTTGCTGTAATCTGACATATTCATTTTCAGAATTAAGGTATAATTATATAGTGTGGAGACTGAGACAGTGTTTCAAAGATGAGACTGCTTTTCTCTTACAGTGACTAGAAATCCTGATATTTAAAAAAAATATTGTTTCCTATGTGGTAATAATTAGTTAAAGGAAATAAAGACAACAATTTAGCTCATTGTAGGAGCTCATTGTTAGAGCTTCATCTAATTTATAAAGCTATTCAAGAATAACAAAGAGAAATAGTTGAATAACTAACTGCCTATATTTCCTACTCCAAGTAATGAAATCTTTTTATAAAGAGAGCAGTTAGGAGTACAAAGCAAAATAAAGTTAAAATTACCTCCAAATTACTAGTTTTTCATGCACTAGAGTGGAGTAATTTGTTCCTCAGGAAATAACTTTACATACTTCTGTGATATGGAACTGCACCTATTTTTTGTTTGAGGCCAAAAGGATTTTGTCCATCTAGTAAATCAAGTTAAAACAGGTTCTTATGAACTCAGCCTTTTGACAGTTGGTAATGATGCAGTTAACATCTGTTATTCTCAGATACGCAATATATTTATTAGGTCTTTAAGTAGGAACAAGTTTTTATTTAATACCCTTGGGGCTTATGCAATTTTACTTTCCCAGGACTGATTGCAGACTCTCTCTTTTTCTTTTTTTTTAAGATTTTATTTATTCATTTTTGGAGAGAGGGCAAAGGAGGGAGAAAGAGAGGGAGAGATATATCATTGTGTAGTTGCCTCTCCTGTGCCCCCTGTGGGGGACCTGACCCATAACCCAGGCATGTGCCCTGAGGCAGCCTTTCGGCTTGCAGGTTGGCACTCAGTCCACTGAGCCACACCAGCCAGGGCTGATTGCAGACTCTTGACACAGTATTCATAGATGTATTAAAAAAAAAGATTCTCAGCCGATTTGTGTTTTCTCTGACATGCTCATATGTTTTTCTTTTTCTTAATTGTTAAAATATTAGAATTTCATTGGGGAAAATATAATCTTTGGTAAAAATAAAATCTAACTTGATAGTCTTTATTCTTTTGTATTTCTCACTTTCTGAGAGGTGTGTTTTGAAATCCAGCTTATTTTTGATTTATTGATTTTCTTTCTTACAATTTTTAGTTTTTGTTTTATACATTTGAGCTTCTGTTGTTAGTTAAATAAATATTAGGATTATTATCTTCACGGTTAATTATTATTTTAAATATTTTTTCTTTTTTCTTTTATCTATTTTTAGAGAGAGGGGAAGGGAGGGAGAAGAGAGAGAGAGAGAAACATAACTGTGTGGTTGCCTCTCATGTGGCCTCTACTGAGGACCAGGCCCGGAACCCAGGCATGTGCCACGACTGGGAATCCAACCAGCAATGCTTTGGTTCGCAGCCTGTGCTCAATCCACTGAGCTACACCAGCCAGGGCATATTTTATTGTTACATAGTAACTTTATCCATCTTGCATTCTTTTTCCTTGTCTGTCGCATATTTTTAAATTATATTTTATTGATTATGCTATTACAGTTGTCCCATTTTTTTTGTCCCCCTTCATTCCTCTCTGTCCGGCACCCCCCAACTCTCCAGCATTCTCCTGCTTTAGTTCAAGTCCATGGGTTGTACATATAAGTTCTTTGGCTTCTCCGTTTTCTATAACCTCCCTATTTTGTACCTACCATTCATGCTTTAATTCCCTGTACCTTTTCCACCAATCTCCTCCCTCCCCCTTCCCACTGATAACCCTCCATGTGATCTCCATTTCTGTGATTCTGTTCCTGTTGTAGTTGTTTGCTTAGGTTTTTTGGGTTTTTTTTTTTTTTAGGTTTAGTTCTTGATAGTTGAGTTTATTGTCATTTTACTGTTCATAGTTTTCATCATCTTCTTTTTCTTAGGTAAGTCCCTTTAACATTTCACATCATAATGGCTCGGTGATGATGAACTCCTTTAACTTGACCTTATCTGGGAAGCACTTTATCTACTCTTCCATTCTAAGTGATAGCTTTGTTGGATAGAGTCATCTTGGATGTAGGTCCTTGCCTTTCATGACTTTGAA